ATCGAGACCTACAATGTGTCTTGTTTTAGACAAATAAATAATAGATAATTTGGAATAATGGGATTGGTTGGGTTAGGTTGAAACGGGTTGACCAACAAATCATTTCAAGGTTAGAGAAGATTTGGAAGGAAATTTGTAATGGAAGAAAAAGGTTGGGAACAAAAGAAAGAAACTAAGCAGAAAAAAGAGGCACTGAATGAAGACTAGTAATAAAAGAAAGGGACTGGGCAGAAATAAGATACTGGAAAAATTGTTGGCAGAAAAAAACTGGAGAAAAACCTGTAATGTGACAAAAAGATTGAGAACAAAAATCAGAGAATTAGCGAAAAAGAAGAGATTCTGGAAATGAGTTGACAAAAAGAATTACGACTGGAAGATGACTTGAGAGAAAGAAGGGAGACCAGAAAACACTTGTAATGGAGAAAAAGATTGGGAACGAAAGACAGAAACTAAGCAGAAAAGAACTTGTAATTGAAGAAAAAGACTGCAAACAGGAGATAGATTTCCAAGATTTTTAGATTATTTTCTTATTATTTTTTTATACAATCATTTTTGAGATTTTGATATTAGGATGTACTAAGATTTTCCAGAGATTCACGTGTATAGTTTTGAAGCTTTACCCGGAATTTTCAAGGTTACAACAAAGTATTATGCTCAGGTACTTAGTCAAAGATGTTGGAAAGGGAAATCTCAATTCGACTGAGAACAACTTTATGAATTTATCGATTCAAAGATATCAATAGTTTACGGTTGAGTTTAATGGTTGAAACCGTAATACATTTCAAAAGACTTTCAACACATTCTACAGATGCCAGATAATATATGATATCAAATTATTGATGCACCTCCAAAACTTGGCAAGTACTTGCAGGAAATTCTGCCAATGTTGATCAATATGAAAAAAATTTTGACAATTTAAATATAATTGAGACTTGCAAAGTTCCTTGTCTTAGAAAAATCCTTTAAATAATTAATGCATTAATAAATAAAACCACAATAACCATAATCCATGGATTTTCAGGAACTTTACAAGGTGTATCTAAGAATTACTTGATTTTATTTAAATGCATCAAAATTATCAAAATATTGTTAAAAATTTCAAGATGTTTTCCATTAAGTGCTGATAGTTTCCTAAGGTTTTGAAGAATTTTTATGGATTTTCGACATTCCATTCCAAGATTTTTAAGGATTTTCAAGCGTTGTTTGAAATCTCTAACGGCTTCTCATTGGGATCTCTTTGGGAGCATTTTCATGAATTTCTAGATTGCCAAGTAGTCTTTGTGATTTCCAGTAGTTTCTGTTATTTATTTGAGATTAATCTAGAATTACCAAGAATTTTGGGAAGTTATGCAAAATACTCTAGAAGTTTCCAAGATTTTTTAGATTATTTCCAAGACTATTTAGGAAGATTCCTTATGATTTTATTAGGATGTGTAAACATATTTTCCAAATATTCACGGATATTTTCCGGAATTTTCAAAATCAGAAAGAAGGATTGTGCTCATGCACTTTGTCAAAGATGTTGGAAAAGGAAATCCCAGTTCGTCTGTGTACAACCTTTCTTTCTTTTATTGTTTATGGTTGAGTTTAACGGTTGAAACCGCGATATATTCCAAAAAATGTCTAATATATTCTATAGAAGGCAGATACATATGATATCAAATTATTGATGTACCTCGAAATCTTGGCAAATATCTCCAGGAAATTTTACCGATGTTGATCAATAAGAAAAACATTTTGACAATTCAGATATAATTGAGACTCGCAAAATTCTTTGTTTTAGAAAAATCTTCTACAAAAAATAATAGATAATTTGTAATGATGGGATTGGTTGGGTTGAGTTGAAATGGAAAGATTTCAAGATAAGGACACAAGATTTAAGATGGCACAATGATATGTACATATATTTCCATTAAGTTATAAGTTTTAATGAGTTGTAAGCGCAATTTCTAGAAGAAATATATTTATCACTAGAACTAACACCAGAAGTAGAACTGGAAAGCTTCGGGTTAAGTCGTGCTTCTGAAGAAGCAATCTGAAGACAAACGGCTTAGCTCGAATCTTTCCAGTTCTAGGTCAACATTTTGTCAAAAGACATGGCTTAACCCGAAAGTTTCTGGTTAGAGTTAACTCTGGTATTAAGATATTACATTTTTGATGCACCTCTAAATCTTGTCAAGTATTTGTAGGAAATTTGACCGATGTTGAACAATATGAAAAAAATTTTGACAATTCAGAATCCTCTATATCATTTTGCATTAATAAATCAAACCACAATAAATAATAGATAATTTGTAACAATGAGACTGGTTAGGTTGGGATGAAATGGGTTGACCAACAAATCATTTCAAGGTCAAATCAGGATACAACATCTAATTGTAAAATGGCACAATGATATGTACATATATTTCAATTAAGTTATAAGTTTTAATGAAGTTGTACGCGCAATTTCTCAAGAGTACTTTGAATTTATTTCAGATGTAATAAGAAATATGAGAGATGTTAGAAGAATATCCAAGGAAATCTTAAGCCTTTCAGAGATATCTAAGAATAATAAGAATATCCAATAATTTCTACTGCATTTCCTGGTATTCCAGAAGATTTTCAAAGATATCCGGGAATATTAATGAAAATCAAAGATTTCCTATTATTCATATATTTCTACAATACTTCCAGAGATTTTTAAGAATCTTTTGAGTTCCAAGTTTATTCCGAAATATCTAAGGTTAAGATTTAATTAGATGCATACTAATTTGCGAAATATTTCCAGGAATTTCTACAAGATTTCCAGTAGTTTTATATGGAGCATTTTTATGAATCTGTAGATTTACAAAAAGTCCATATCATGTATTGCCACTGGTGATTAGGCTTTATTGCACAAGTATTTCAGTTTTTACGGATTTGCAGAGGATTTTCGAGATTTTCAAGATTTTCCAGAAGTTTTCCAACATTCTTTAGACAATTTCTAAAACGTTTTAGAAGTCTTCAAGGGTTCTCCAACACACCTTATCCGACACGACCTAACCCGAAAGTTTCTGGTTAAAGTTAACTCTGGTATTAAGATATTAAATTATTGATGCACCTCTAAATCTTATCAAGTATTTGCAGGAAATTTTACCGATGTTGAACAATATGAAAAAAATTTTGGCAATTCAGAATCCTATACATCATTTTGCATTAATAAATCAAACGACAAGAAATAATAGATAATTTGTAACAATGAGACTGGTTCATTTCAAGGTCAAATCAGGATACAACATCTAATTGTAAGATGGCACAATGATATGTACATATATTTCAATTAAGTTATAAGTTTTAATGAAGTTATAGGCACAATTTCTAGAAGAAATATTTTTCTTTCATAAGTAAGTTTTAGATAGAGTTGAACTAAAATCAGAATTAGCATTATCACTAGAACTAACACCAGACAACACCAGTTCTAGGTCTAGTGTTAGTTTTGATCAGTAGTTACTTACTCCAATATCATTTGTTTCTGAAGAAGGTTGTTTGATGTTTTAGATATCATTTTACAACTTTGTTCAGAAACTTCTTTCAAACTTGTTTCAACAAAGTTTCAACATGACATTTGAAACGTCAAACATTTTTTCAAAAAACAAAGTTAATTCTAGTTTTAGTTGAATATATTTCTTACAATTTTTATTTTATTGAACACACAATACTTAAATAATAACTTTATTGATATTTGATCTGCTTTTGGGTGCAGGTGCTAAAAAACGTACTAAAATATCACATCGGGTCAGAAAACAACATTAATAAAAAATCGATGGCCGCCGACACATTATTTTCATCATCGTACAACCATTTCATTTAAATTTACTTACTCCTTAAACTTTCTTAACTTTATTATAAGCAGGTATCTCGCCGTTATTTTTTTTTTAAATTAATATAATAAATAGGCACTTTAGCAAAGACTTACAGTCCTAAGTGCCATGAAAACTTTACAATATCTATATACATGCCCCGCTAAACACATCTTGTAATAATTATACTTTATTATTAATAATTTTTATTTATTTATTAATAATCCTAAATAGTGTTTTTTACGTATCTACAGTCTAATTTTTTTCACTATCTGGTTTTTTTTTCATTTTTATTTTAAAAGTTCACTTTACTCAGCTACGTGCGTTACCAATTTGTTTCTGTTTTAATCGGGAAGTTTTTCGTTTTTTAACTTTAATTTTTTTTCTTTTTCTTTATTTATTAATTAAATTTTCCAAATTTTTCATCTTTATCTTCGATAATTGTTTTTCTGTTTTAAATTATTTAAATACGTTTAAATATGTTGTGTATATTATGTATATAGTCACTTCTAAAATTATTTTATTAGTTTTAATTTTTTTTAGAAAACTCTACTCAACTATATTTTTAAAATCCATTTCTTTTCACATTTTATCCTTTATGTTTTCTTTTTAGTTTTAGTCAACACCAATAGATTAAATGGCGCTAAATACAACAAAAAATAAATTTTTGTCAACGTTAATTTGACATTTCAAATATTAATTTGACATTATTAACTTCTAAAATATAACCATTAATTTGACATTTAATTATTAATTTTTTCAATCCCCCCATCTATTGGTGTTGATTTTAATCAATATTAAGATATATTTTTTTAAAGTTTTTTGTTGAATTATCTTTCATATCTCATACGAGGAAAGGAAAAATTAAACTTCTTAATCTTATACTTTCTTTGGACTCTTCTTTGAATTTATATTTAATTTTTCCTTGCCTTTTAATAGACTTTAACAGAAATAAGATTCTGCTTCGAATCCTATTCTTGCGGGATTTTTAGTTGATTTTATTGCTATTTTTGTAAAAATTATTTAAAAAAAAAATCTACCTATCATAAAGTTTATACATCAAAAACAAAAATTGGAAGTCGACATTATCTTCTGTTGTGCATGTTTTTGCTTGTTTTTTGTCCCAAATTCATCGTACTATTACTCATTTTGATAATGAATTGTGATAAATAAGTAAAGTTTCGTGTTTCAACTTGTTTGTTTTTGGTTATGTTTAAAAGGGACACACTATCGTTTCATATTCGAACATAAGTGAAACGGCAACAAAGACAAAATACAACAGAAACATCGTGAGACCGAGCCCCTTGTTCATCTTCCACCGGAAGCATGCAATCGACAAGACGACGAACAACAACATCATGAAGAGTATTGTTATGGAACACACCATTCCTACCGAGTTCACCTCGACGGGCTTGTTGTAGATGATTCCGTATATTAACCAAGGCACTGGTAACCTAAAAAAAATAAAAATTATTAACATTTTATATCAAACATTCCTGAGGATGTCTCACGTAGCCGAAATTAGTAAGACTTAAATTTATATTTTTTTATTACATAAATAATTCGAACCAGTTTTAATGTGGTTAAGGAGATTTAGGTCAATACAAGATTATATCTGGTGGTGGAGAAAAAAAACTGCAAATGTCACGTTCAACTACATCAGCTATTCCTTTAAACAGCTTTATTTCAAAAATGACAGACTTACGAAACTACTATTTTAAGCATTTTTATAATATTTGTCAGTTTTTTATCACATAACAAGGTGTTGCGCAAACCAACATCGTCAGGACCAATACTCGTTTTCAGTGTTATTAAACTGTACATAAAACAATTTTAATTTGTTCTTCCGAGACGTTCTAAAAATTGTTGTATAGAAGAGATGATGTTTAAAAGCTATTGGTCTATAGAAAATGATCTGTAGAAAGAGACTAGGTGTAGTAAAAATAGAGTTGCTGGATAAAGACCCTGCAAAAAGAAGAGAGACTGGAATAAATTTGTACTGGAAGAAAAAGATTGGGAACAAATGGCTGAGACTAAGTAAAAATAAGGGACACTAAATGAAGACTAGTAATAGAAAAAGGGACTGGGCAGAAATAATAGATACTGGAAAAAGGCTTGGCAGAAAGAAGGGTACTGGAAAAAACTTGTAATGCAACAAAAAGACTGCTAACAAAAGTCAAAGAATAAGTAGAAAGAAGAAATTCTCTTCTGGAAAAGACTTGACAAAATGAAGAACGACTGGAAGATGACTTGATTGAAAGAATGGAGACTAAAAAAAACTTGTAATGGAAGAAAAAGATTAGGAATGAAAGACAAAGACTAACCAGAAAAAAGGGATAATGTAAAGAATCTTCTCAGAAAAAAAGGGACACTAGGTAGAGACTAATAGTGGAAGAACAGATACTGGAAAAAGACTTGGCGGAAGAAAGCTGGAGAAAGACTTGACAGAAAGAAGATTTGATAAAAGAAATGGAGATTGGAAAGAAACTTGTAATTTATTTATTTATTTACTACATACAGTTGAGCACGGAAAGGAGACAAATCCAAGGCATCGTGTCTCAAAAATAACAACAACAAAGAAAAGGAAAAATACATCAAAATATATATAATTCTCAACTTGGGAGAGTTCTGGAAGACATTCGTACGAGAAGTAGGCATATAAAATAAATAATTAAGCCGAAAACGTCGGGGAGGAACACAAAAATTAACGACCTCAAGAAGGCTAAGAGAATCAATACTACCATTAATGATTTTATGGAATGTAAAAGCATCTCCACATGAATGGCGCTGACGGAGCGATAAGAAGTTGAAGGGGCTAATACTTAATCAATGTAAGCGATGTTGCTTTTAAAACATAGATACTTTAGAAATTTCTTTTGAATCCTTTGAATTCTGGTAATATATATTTGATGTTAGGGATTCCAAACGGAGCTGCAAAGCTTAAAACGCTATGCACATACGCAAAATACCTCAATAATCTTGTAGCATAAATTTTTGTAAAATTTTGCGTGACTCTTATAACGAAGACAAGCATGTGCCAAGCCTTAACAACATCAAATGTGACACCTAAGTCCCTGACTTGAGTCACCTAAAATCGTATCTAATTGTACCTGCCTTCTTTGTAAAAGAAATAACATTACAGTTTTCAGGGTTTAGTGTGAAGAAATTTTAGCTGCAATAAATACGTAGCGCATCAATGTCGCGTTATAGCCTCGAGCAAATGGAAGAAAAAGATTGGAAACAACAGACAGAGACCAGGTTCTGCCTGGAGTCAAAAAAGAGACATTGGGTAGAGACTGGGTACAAGACTTGTCCGAAAAAAGAGATACTAAAAAAAGATTTGGCAAGAAAAAGGGACACTGAAAAAACTTGTAATGTAAGAAACACAATGGGAAAAGAAGATAGGGAATAAGCAAAAAGAAGAATTATTCGAAAAATACGAAAATTATAAAATTCTCCAAGGGCGGGAGGAAGTAAAAGAATTTACGTACTGGGTTTTATCTTTCCAGCGGATAATGGAGCGCGAGGTCATATTAGGCAAAGAGTTGGAAAAACAAGTAGATTATTGGGGCAGATATGGAGCTGGGGGAACGAATATTTGGAAAAGATTTGTGTAGGCGGAAAATAATGTTTGATGGATTGGTGAGGAGTGTGATAATGTAAGAGGCGGGGTCTATTGTGAGATAGGAGTTCAAGCTGGAAGTAGACAGCAGGGCAATAAAGTACCAGGATGGACTGTACAAAGATGTTGGGAGAGTCTGGGAGGTTAAGACTGGAGTAGAGGAATATGGACAACAAGAAAGAAGGGAATATTATACTAGATTAAAGTACTCAACAGAGGAAGTACAAAGAAGGAGGAGGGAAGAGTCAATACTATGGAAGGAGTTGGAGAGTAGAGATGGAGATGTGGACAATCAGGAATGGAGATACAATAATAAGTATAAAGTCATAATAGTAGAGGAAATTCCGGGGTATTTGATGAAGGAGGGTTATAATAGATATTGAATAGATATTGCCTAGGAGATGAGAAGAGGATGTATAGATTGTGTGAGGATGATTGGGAAACAATTGAGCATATGCGGAGGTGTGACGACTTGTGAGAGGGGGTATAGAGTGGGAGCTCGTGCTAGGTAGAGCGGGAGAGGGAAGAGAGCGGATGGCGGAAGTGACGATGTAGAGGAGGAGGAGGAAAGTGAAGGAGGTAAGTGAAATTGCGTTTTATGTTTTAAGTTTTAGTTATTGCAGCTATTGTATGCGGAAAGAACAATAAACGATATTATATACAGGGTGTTAAAAAACGAATGTAAAATATTTAAAGAGATAACAGTATAGACCAAAATAAACAATAAAGTCTTAATAAACATGGGTCCGCAAATGACCGGTTTTCGGAGATATTGTTTTCTTATCATAAGTGGCGTATCATTGTGAAATAACAATATTGTGAAATAAACATTGACTGTATTAGTGCATAAGTTTTCGTTTGCTATGGTTGTTTACTCTAACCCAAAATTAACTGACATGCATTTCATGTATGGTCGTAGTAATGAAATTGCCATCGAAGCGCGACGATTTTATGCTGAAGCTTATCAAAATCGCCAGGTTCCTGCGCATCGTATTTTTGTAAGAATTCACCAAGGATTGCGTGATACCGGTTCGTTAAGCAGAGGATGCTCTTTCTCCTAGAAGAAATTCTGGCACGGAAAGAGCGTAATCCGGAGACGAGTGTGCGAAAAATATCAGCCTAGGTAGGAATTAGTGCTCCTCGTGAAAAATATTTAGAAGGACATTGTAGGCGACAGGTTTACCGATTAACTGATTAACAGGCGCTGCTTATTTAAATTTCCTGCAGAACACAATGATTAATCTTTTTGACCACGTAGACCAAAGGCAACAAATATGGTTCCATGCATCATGGTGCTCCATCTCATTTCTCGATTGCGGTTAGAGAACATTTAAATGAAACTTTGCCACGTAGAAGGATAGGAAGAGGCGAACTTCTAAACTTCGTTTTCTGGGGATATTTGAAAACATTAGTCTATGGTACTACTGTGAATACCCTCGAAGAGCTGCAGCCAAGAATTAATCAACAATGTGAACAAATTGGAGCCAATGAGGAGATTTTAGAAAGAGTTCGATTATCCTTCAGACGAACATATCGTGCCTGTTTGGATATGGAACTTCTTTTATTTATTTGTACATAATAGATAAATAATAAATAATTTTTTTCAAAAATGGTATTAATTTTCAATCCTTCCATTCCTCCGAAACCGTTTATTTGCGGACCCATGTTTATTAAGACTTTTTTGTTTGTTTTGGTCCATACTATTACCTCTTTAAATATTTTACATTCTTTTTTTGACACCCTGTATACTGAAGAAAGACTTGACAGTAAAAATAACGATTGGAAAAAGACTTGATAAAAAGAAGGGACACTGGAAAGAAACTTGTAATGGAAGAATAAGGTTGCACACCAAAGACAGATACTAAACAAAATGAAGGAATACTTGTAAAGGATCCATAATAGAAGAAAGAGGCTAGCCAGAAAGAAGACTGGAAAGAGATTTAGCAGAAAGAAGGAAAGGATAGGAACCCTGGAGAGAAACTGGTAATGGAAGGAAGAGATTTTGAACACAAGAAAGAAACTTGAAAAAGACTAGTAATAGAAGAAAGGGACTGATTGTGGAAGGATGGGGCTAATAATAGAAGAATAAACCAGAATGAGAATAATAGTATATTATTCAACAAGCGTATAATGGCGGCTNTAGAGATTAATCAGAAATGGAAGTCTGGTAATAAGAGAATAACACTGAAAACTGATCGTAAAGGCAAGAATTGTAGTAGGCAGAGAAGAAACGGAAAAGTCAGTTATGAGTGTCCATAAAAAAGAAACATCCTAACCACAGACTATAAAGATAGTACGTGGAAACATATTTTTTTAGTTACGACAGTGATAAGAGGAGAAAAAATAGACAACGCTATCTTTGAAATGAAAATATTGAATATATAATGGACATGAGCGGAATAAGATGACCTGAAGCAGGAGGCATTGATAAAGAATAGGGCATAGTGTTTTACTTGGAGTCATCAGATTCAAAATTATAACCTCGGCAGAATTGTTTCGATAATTTTCTCTTTTTTTATTTACTGTCTGACCGGTTTCGGCTTACGCCATCATCAGAGACATTAGTAATACAACATTAGATTTTAATATGTTTTCTAATGTTACTAAAATCAACATGGTCAACATGGATCAAACTCCCTCATTTAATTAGAACTATTTCGAGCTGCTACCAACAAGTGATAATTGCCAACGTTTGAATCGGATAGCCACCACAAGAAGAAGAAGATACAGTTATAGATGATGTACGTATCCAGCGTTGCCAACCTATGTTGGCCAAATGTCGGTAAATTAATTGCAAAAATCGGTAGGTATCAGAAAAAATCAGTACCTAGGTATCAGAAAAATTCGGTAGCTTTCACCCTTTTTTTTTGGTGTGATCAGACATTGATCCGTTGCCATTCTGGATGAAATTGCTGTGAGTTGAGTCTCTTGCGTATGAAAATTATATGATTCTGGTAATGGCATTACGTCTTCCAAGGACGTAACGGTTGGATAGTTTTCATAGTCACTGAAATCAGAAGGTGGGTCTTCTTCTCTTGTAATAGCACACACTAAAGACTGTGTCTAGTCAGTCTTATGGGATATAGCTAAAGGAGCAAAAGCCTTATCAGGAATAACCTGAGGGTCCAACGAATACATCCCAGTAACCTTGAAGCCACTGTATGTAATTTTTTCATCCCAAAATGTTTCAAATGCTTTGAAGAATGCTTTATCTATGGATTACAAGTCATGGGTTGTATTCTTTGGAAGGCAATATAACGTAATATTTATTAGCAGCACTTGCGATGTTTACATCCCGATGAGATGAGGCTCCATCAAATATTAGTACCATTTCTTCGACAACTTATATTGGGCAAAGTATTCAATCGTTGTCATACATCTGTTCCATATTTCATACATTGTGGCTTCAAACGCTGGCCTTTGTAGATAACTACTATACGTGAAATACAGTACCAATAGCATTGTCACCTGTACTCCTTTTGCATCTCCCTTTGCTTGAACAACTTTCTGATGATGAGCTGTGAGGCTGCACCCTTCCTCATCAATGTTATACATTCTCCTTTAATACGTTTCTTACTTTTGTGGAATAATCAGTAACTACGAATTTGTTTAATTTCATTCTGATCAAAATAAATATTTCATGAAAATCGGTAGATTAAGATGTAGGCATATCGGTATAGTCTTCTATATCTGTAGATCTACCAATAAATCGATATTGTTGGCAACACTGCGTAACCATAAAATAAAACGGATTTTATATGAGATTATTATCTCTTCAGTCTTTAATGTATCCATTTCTTGCTCCGTCCATCAGTTAAGGAGGACTCTAACTACCACTCTCACTTCATTAGGGTTTCATCATCCTAATTGGCACTCCTCATATATAAATGTGTATTAATATATTTGCTACCTCGTGACCACACCTTGCAACTCCACCATTGATTATTAAATCTTAGAAGATTGGAAAGAAACTGAAAAGTAAATGGGATAAATTATTTTATGGGTTGTGATATAAATGATATTGATTATATTTAATGTTAAGACAAAGTAAAAAAAAAAACAATTTGGAATTCCTTGGAGATACCAAGACATGGTTGAGTGGAAAAGTGGAACGCGGCAGGGGAATTCAGTTAAAAAGTTTGTTCACCTTTTTTTTTGGAAAAAGTACAGGTTTACGATACCCAAACTTACCTGGGGAGAGTAGGGAATGAAACCTCTACTCGGAGGACGGGAGAAGGCAATTTAAATTTTGTCGTGTATAGAAATACGATTTTAAGGCTTTCAAGCCTTTCCGAAACTGGTGGAGTTTAAAAGGCAACCGCATCCGCAAATAAAGTGTTTTAAAAGTTTCCTTTCAATTCTTTTTTTCCTTCTTTACCAATGCAGCTGTACCAGCAACAATATAATTAAAGATACTTGAGTATTTCCGAAAAAAAATTCTCCCTCATTTTAACTTCAAACTCTTTTCAGAAATAAATCTGACTCCATTTATTTTAGAAAAGCAATTAAATAATATTGTATTATTTTTACAAAAATAATATTATCACTGTTATATGGAGTGACAAATGTTTTCATCAATTCCAAGCTGCAAATCACTGGAAACAAAGTGAGAAGTCGTTCAATTAATCTTATAAACTCATGCTTCGGGTTTAATCAATACCATCGAGCAATAAATCTCCTTCAACTTGATATCACCACGTCCGAAACAAAGTGGACATCATCCGAAAACGAATCGAATAACCCCATTTTTCAAATCGAAAAAAAAAAGAGATTTAGTTCCAAAAAGCGTAAAGTTGGAATTTAAATAAAAATGTTTTTTAAGATTTTAATCCGAATCAGATTTTTTTATTCTAAAGTACTTTCAAATCGATTATCGATTTAATAATTCGTTCATTAAATCTCACACGGGTATTTACCGCTCCCCTATTAATTAATTAACAAACATTTCAAATATTTCCATTTGGAGGCGGAAATTATTGAACCGAATTGCAGTATGAACTTATTTATAAACTTGCTTGTTATATTGCGTGTATAATATCACTATTTTATTGAATATTTCATGGCATTATTCGAAATCGATACATTTTATTCTTAGATATTGTAAAAACAACTTGGCGATTTTGATTTCATAAATAAGATTTTTATCTTACCCGACGGTAACATCGAAGATATTGCTGCCGACGGAGGAAGAAACTGCCATGTCGCCAAATCCTTTTCTAGCGACGATGACGGACGTTATGAGGTCCGGTATCGATGTACCAGCCGCTAAGAAGGTGAGACCCATCACCTCCGGAGGAATGCTTACTGTTTCGCCGACCATGTTCGCCCACCACACCATCAGGTACGAATATGCAGCAATCCATAGGATGCTTCCGAGAAATGTGATGGGGAAGAATTTCTTACCTATAAATATAAAAATTAACAAAAATAAACAAACTATATTAAATTAACAATAACGTACTAAGAAAACAAAATGAAATTTAATAACGGAAACAACATATAAAGAAATAGTTTTAATCTTCTTTAAATGGAACTTGTGCATCCCAAAGATAAGTTGCTCCAGGAGTTGGACTGTTTCTATCGCCATCACATTTACTCACTAAAATTGTCTTTCCTTCTTCATAAATAACTTCGACTTGTTTGAATTTCTCCCGAGCATTTCTCTCATAATAATAATTATGGTGCAATTTTTGTTTACCCTCATCTTCGCTCGATATATCTTGCTTCATATTCTTTTTAATATCGAAGCGGTTTGAGATATGGAAATATCTTAATTTGTTAATAAAATTATTATTAATCGATACATAAAATTTGGGATTAAACATTTTAACCTATCAAGTTTTAATGATGTCAATTTGAAGCATTTGATTGTCTTAACTCATAAGGTTAGTTTTTAGTAAAAATAAATCTATGAATTCTTGATTTAAATGTTATTAATAAACTTCATTTGTACTTCCATCGGCCCAATTTGAAACTGCAGGGGGCGATCCTCCGGAAGTAGACCTCAACTTCGTTATTTTAAATGGAATGCTATAGTTTTTATTACACATTTTAATTGTATGCGAAAAAATATGTTGACTTCGATAAAAGTTACTGGTACCTAGCATTTTTCGTTTTCGAGTTACAAGTTGGTAAGATTACTCTTCAGATGATATCAAGTAGATTGCCATTTGTTGTATCAGAGTATCTTATACAGGCTGGTCAAAATTGAATTGTCGTTTCTCCATATTCACTGGCAAGAAGGCTGAAAATTTTATATGGTACGTATTTTTTTAACCTACCAGTGAGAGAAATAAATTTTTTATGCCTAATTAAAACTAAAACAAATAATTCCAAATAATTTTCGATACCCTGAATCCGAATCTGACGTCAGAATTGCTTCATCACCTAAGATTTTCAAGATATCTTACCTAAAATATGCGAAAAACACGATTTTTCAACACATTCAAGGCTGAATTTACATCAAAAGATAATTTTTCTCCACATAAGTTATTGTGCCATTTAAAACTATTTCTCTGCCCTCTTAAAATCTTATGTTATTCATTTAAATATTTTTCTTGATCTCTGAGAAATTGTCTCCTAAAACTAAGAAATTCATCATATTTGAAATAACATCTTTTTATTTTCCAGTTTTATTTACATGTATTAAAATGTTTTATTAACACTTCAAAGCAATACAAAATATTAATAAATAACAAATAACAACAAACGTATGGTCTAAAACGAAATTAATGATAAAGAACCTGAAGTGGCCTGCCCTTACCCTATAAATATCGTTTACAGAGATTGTTAAAAAAAGGTTTCTGCAATTAATGTAGTTGGAAAAACGCATTAAAACGCAATGAATTCAAAACATTGTAAATACTTACATACAAAAAAGTACAAATGACTGATCGGATCATACGATTTCGATAAAATTCCATATATGGTATTTTTTTCTCATTTTACAGACGTATACAAAAGTGTATGTGTTCAGGTAAAGTATCACTTCCGGTCAAGCGATTTCGCTGAAATTCAATATATCGTAATTTTTTGTCATTTATTAGATGTATACGAAAGTATATGTTAGGCTATACATATCAAAAATGTAAGTTTATATGAAACGTTTGAAAATGTCTTCAGGTAAAGTGCCATTTCCAGTTGGTGGATTTGGTCTAAAAGGTGTTTACGAGCTTTCGATTTTGGTTTAATAGCTATATACCAAATGTCATTACGATAACTGATTGCGTTTTTAAGTTATCGTGTTTACACACATACATACATACGTACGTACATAAATACGCACAGACATTTTCTGGAAATAGTCAATATGGACTCAGGGGACCTCAAAACGTGTATATCCATCAAAATGTAGAGGTCGAATTTCAATACTTTGTCTCATATATACCTATACATATTTCGTATATAGTGCGAGAAAGTAAGAATTAATTTACAATATTTTTGTTTGATATACTTTATAACAATAAAACTTCATAACTTTCACTTATTCTCGAATATTTTTAAATTAATTTGTTTTTTATTGTATTTAATTTTGTATTTTTAAAACTTCTTTCCTATTTATAGCAATTGAGATGTTATTTTAGTTTCTTATGATAACGAACGCGCATCAATTCAAACGATCGTTTAACACTCTTACGCTTATATTGAGCAGCGTTATCGTTTCTTTTCAAAGACCAGCAGTAGCCAGCCATCATTCTTTCATCCCATCTACCTTGATAGTGTCGCTCTTTTTCTTTGAAATTCTGATGGAATCGTTCACCCATCTCTTCGCTGAAGGCTCCTACATTTTCCGGAAAGTAATCCAAATGGGAAAATAGGAAATGTAGCTTCAAACTCATTAAACAGCCTAATTTTTTAAAGTTTAATAACATTGTCGATACAATGTTTTTATATTGTTGATCCCGATGGTTGCCCAAGAAATTTTGTACAACTTCTTTGTAACTTAACCAAGCATTTTTTTCGTTATCTGTCATTGTTCTTATAAAATCGTCATCTTTCATTAAGTTTCTTATATCAGGCCCCACGAAGATACCTTAACTTTAGCATGACTTAAATTTGGAAATGCAGACTTAAGATATTTAAAACAGTTTCCATCAGTATTTAAGGCTTTTACGAATTGTTTCATCAAGCCTAATTTGATGTGGAGTGGAGGTAACAAAATACGCTTTGTGTCAACAAGACTCTTGTAAACAACATTGTTGGAACCAACTTTCCAATCAAATCTTTCAGGCCACTTTTTTTTAATCCAATGTTGTTCTCGGGCGCGACTGTCCCAAATGCAGAGAAAGCAAGGATTTTTTGTATTTCCTGATTGTAAACCAACCAAAATATTGATCATTTTAAAGTCACCACATATAAACCAGTTATGGATGTTGTAGTTGATTTTTTCGAGTACAAATTGAAGGTCTTCGTATGATTCTTTTCGCCTGGTGGAATGACCAATAGGGATTGCTGCGTATTTATTGCCGTTATGGAGCAACACTGCTTTAAGGCTTTCTTTAGAGGAATCTATAAAGAGCCGCCAGTCATCGGACTTATACACACCTACTTGATATGTATTGATAAGTCCTTCTATATCATTACAATAAACTAAGGAATTTTCACTAGAAAAATATTTCAGAAATTCCTCATCTCTTTCTGTACGCTGTAATTTAAGTTCCGGGTAACAACATGTTCCTCTCTCTAAGTCTGGAATCTTGATCAAAAAGTTCAGGGTCTTTGGCACTAACAGAATCCTCATAATCACTGCTCTTTTCACGTTCAACAGAACTCATTTCTTCCAAACGACATTCATTTTTATTAGGTGGTACTTTGTCTAATCTCGCTATTTTTCCTTTCTTGGCTGGTGTTATGCTTTGTACGTTAGAATATAATATGTTTCCTTTATTTTTTTTTATTATAACCTGTTATATCACAGGCACAGAAGTAACAGTCTTTATTGTGATCATTCCTTTATCAACAACAAGTAACAACTGCAGACAAAACCAACAATCAAAATCATTTAATAGCAATTAGCAGCAAATAACAGTATTAACCACGTAAGTGACATTTCGCGTTATAACAAAATCAATTGTTTTTTAAAAACCAAGCCAACTTTGAGGACAAATTTTAGAAAAATGTCGGTCGTGTAGTGGCAGGCCAACTGGATACGGTATATTTTATTTTTTTACGCAAAAACTGTAAATCTTGTGTAACAAGGTGAAAAAGAAAAAAGTCACTAAAGAATAAGCCTTCCGACTATATTTTTTGTATCAATATTCCATCGTTTCAAAAATTTTATCTAGAAAATCCAATATGGTTGTGATTTTCATCTTATAAAACGCTATAGAGCTTAAATAAAAAATAATATGTAAA